GTTTGTTGTAGTTTTTGAAAAGTGATTTCTGTTAAATAAAATATCTCCTTTTGAAGTGGACTTTGAACATTGTAATTTTGCAGATATTTTTCATGCTCAAACAGCAACATTACAGACTAACTAAAGTTGAAAAAGTGAAAAAGCATAATAGGACCCCTTTAAATCCCAAGAATCAATTAGTCTAACCTGTTTTCAGTTATTGAACAGAACATTGTAGCACGCATCGCATCCAATAAATCACAGTAAGCTTTGTGATTTGTTACTTTTGATATGAAATAAATCTCAGATTTCAAATTCTGTGCATGTTATTACAATATTCAAAGAACGTCACATTTACCTCAGAAAAAAAAATAAAATAATTTGGTGACCATAAACTTTAGTCAGCTAGAAAAATTAACTCTAGAGAGGAGCATTTTGCTAAATATCTGCACCATATAACAATCATTATAATTTTTTACTGTTCTTCAGTATTTAAGTTTGAATAAATCCATCAAGTTTCTATGACAGACACCATTTAAATGTTTATATTTCAAATGTTAAATTAATTGGAGTAGAAATATAATTATGTAATTTAAACTTAGTTAACTTTTAGTTTATTTTAGTATTAGAATTTTAACCTTCAATATTATAGTAATGTAGTACCAACTGCCTCCCATGTATATTTTACAGCATTAGTTGGGAGATTTTTTTCCTTGAGACTTAAGCAAATGCAACATGAACGCTACTCAACGTAAATGAAAAAAAATACTGAGTGCACATTTAAGTATTAAGAATGGCCATAATGAATAAAGAATGGCTCAAAATCAGGAAGCACATTTCATACCTCAGAGGTATTGCCGCAAATGTCTTCTGTTGAGCTGTGTGCTTCATGTCAGTAATGCTTGATCCCCACTAAACGTTGTAAGGTTCTAGCAGATTTTAAATGTTTAACATTGCAGTACTGTTCAACAGCTGTGTGTGACCAAAAAAAGCTTTGCTCTTGTTTGCAGTGTCATAACTCATTGTTTAGGTTAAGTTAGCCTCAAGGTTAATGTTTGTTTAATGGCATTGGACACAGCGCATTCACACCCTTCCCCTAACCCTTGCTGACCTGTTGCGTCTGGAGCATGGTTTTGTTTTGACTGCAATTAAAACCTCCCTGCACAATATTTTTGTTTCCTGCCATGAGTTAATTCATCTCAACCTTTTATCTCATCTCAGACATAACCTTCTGTTGTTGTTTGATGCATGGCCTGCATTTGACCTTGTTTGTTTCTGTTTGTTGTTTTTGGAACAGCTTTTGTCATTTTTGTAGAAGCACGTGTTTGGTTTTTCTTTTATTTATCCCTAATTTGACTTTTTTCCTTTTGTTTTCTCCTCTGTTTGCCCATGTCACTATCCATTCCACCCTTTCCTGTCCGACACACTGTGTCTCCATGGTTACGCTGTCCTACCACCTATGCGTTATGGTGCCTACTATCTCGAACAACCAAAAAACCCTCCTGCCAACCCACCAATCTGCCATCTGCACCCTCAAACTCTCGGGCTCCATGTGTTTGCCCTCTGTGGTCCATAATGTGGTTACACGCCAACCCAGGGTGACAATTCCTTCCTGCAGGCGACGGTGGCCAAACTGGGGCCCCTGCCGCGTATACTTGGCGATATCACCCGCTCCCTGTCCAGCCCCACCCCCATCCAGCAGCAGCTCAGGCGCTTCCAGGACCACAGCTCCGCTCATGACATCAGTGGGAGTGTGTCCTCAGGACTGCAGAGAATATTTGAAGACCCAGCAGACAGGTAGGACATTGCTGGATTTTATAATTTTTTCTACTTCATGTATGACTCTTGCGCTATATTCTAAATCACCTAAAGCCATAATTAAGCTTTGTGTGAGGAACAGACTGAAATGATTTGGTTGTTATTCCAAAATTATAGTAGTTACTCACTCATCCACAAGATCAAACGTGGTGCATTCCTAAAAGGAGAAGAACATCATTGATTCTCACATGTATTGTGAAAGTGCCAAGTTTGAACTTGTGGAAACATGAACATTTTAAAGGGCCATTTCTGGTTAAAGGTGCGATGTAATGGAAGTAGTGACATATCTTTTCTTCTCTATTGTGACGTACATCTGAGTGAAGCAGGTTATTGAAAAGATCAAAAATTTAGGGTGGGAACTCTTATCATTTCACCAGAAGATTACGTTATGACCATTTTAATGATAAATGTGACCCCGGACCACAAAACCAGTCATAAGGGTCAATTTTATGAAATTGAGATTTATACATCATCAATATTTGGCCGAGATACAACTATTTGAAAATCTGTAATCTGCGGGTGCGAAAAATCAAAATATTGAGAAAATTGCCTTTAAAGTTGTCCAAATGAAGTACTTAGCAATGCATATTACTAATCAAAAATTAAGTTTTGATATTTACAGTAGGAAATTTACAAAATATCTTCATGGAACTTGATCTTTACTTAATATCCTAATGATTTTTGGCATAAAAGAAAAATCGATAATTTTGACCCGGACAATCAATTTATTGTTGGCTACTGCTACAAATATACCCGTGCAACTGGAGACTGGTTTTGTGGTCCAGGGTCACAAATTAAAAGGTCAAAAGAAAGAAACGTATGCATGGATGAATCATTCACAATAGATTGTGCATTTAGAAGGTAGATAGGGTGAGTTTCCCTTTCATGCCATTTAATTTGTGACGTATGCCACACTTCTCCAAAGATTGCATTTAGAACTAGTTTATCCAGTCAATAATGGATGAATTGAACCACGTCCCGTACTACCATTTTTTTTTTTCTTTTTTGGTAATCCATTTCACTCAGAAATGTATCACAATACAGAAGAAAAGATCTGTCCCAACTTGCGTTTCATCGCAACTTTTAAAAAGGCTTCGGAACAGATGGCTGACAAGCCTACTTATATTTCTCTGAGAAGGCCAATCAGTATCGGACAAGAATAGACCACAATGCATTGTAACACCAAAGTATGAATCAACATTACATTAGCACATGTAAATTTCCAAAACCACTGAGACTTTAATTTAACTGAGACTTTAATTGACTTAATTAAAGACTTTAACCATTCAAATAAAATGTGCAATATTATTACTGCATCATTCTCATATATTCATTCTTCTGTATCTTGTTCCTCAGTGAAATGAGGAGCATCAAATCTCCTGTCCAGGAGCACATGGAGGCATTAGTCCGAGGCAAGCATCCTTTATTGGGTCAGCAGTCCTCCACTCACAGCATGAGCTTCTCTGACAAAGAGGAGCGAGACAGTCCCCTACCGAATGGACGCAGTATATCTCTAATGGACCTGCAGGACTCTTACCTGGCACAAGGGCATCCGGGTCCTAACTCTCTCAACGAAGCCCCACCTAGATTAGGCCGAGTGGGCTCTCAGGCCTCCATTGGCTCTGTCCCACCTCCACACCTCCACCAGCCCCCTGTCCATCCAAAAGTTCCCCAACTAAGAGACAACTTGCCGCAAAGTGCCCCACAAGTGCGGCGCCCTATACACCCCTCCCTCAGCCAGCAGCGTAGCCTGCAACCGCTGTCTTTCCAAAACCCTGTTTACCACCTCAGTAACCTGCACGCACAATCCACACACTCAACCCAGTCCACGCACTCCGCCCAGTCCCTGCAGCCAGACTCCAGCTTGGAGAACCTGAGCACAGGCAGCTCTCGGAGCGCCAGTCCCAGTGCGTCAGGGGGCCGGGGAGCTACTCCCAGAGCACAGATGCCCTCCACCAGCAGCGTGGAGGAAGAACTCACCCGCAAAAGCATCCAGGGACAAGAAACACCTCCTCCCACAGCATGCTGGCACCCTCCCCTGGCAGACCAGCACTCGGGAGCCCAGGTTGTGGCGGTACCGAGGCAGAGCAGCGCAGGTACGGCACATATCGTGAAGGTGGAGCAACAGAGTCGAGGAGTGGGGCTGGTGGCAGGAAACACAGCGGCGCGAACTCCAAGATCGCTTCCTCACAGCACTTCCCTGCGTAGCAGCAGCAGCATCAACACTGAACCCATGCAGCAGAGCGGTGAGAGATCCAGACAGCAGTCCTCGTGCTCCAGAGACAGTTCGGTTCCAGGAGGACGAGGCACCAAACAGGTAATGACCGAGATGAGGAAAGAGTTCGCTTTACCCAGACATGTTTGAACCCAAATAATGCTTTCTTTTGCATGTGTCCATAAGGTACAGTCACCTGTAGAGTCAGTCACCCTGTCCCCAGTGGAGCGAACGGCAGCATGGGTCCTGAATAACGGCCAGTATGAAGATGAGGAAGAGGAAGGACAGAGCAAAGATGATGCCAAACATGTAGAGAAGGTACAAAAAGGAGAAATTGCTGCAAATATGCTTTAGATAGTCACTGTAGTAGGTTTTAAGAGGTTCTACTATTTTTCTCTGAAGTACGAACAGGAAATCTCAAAACTGAAGGAGCGTCTGCGGGCGTCTAGTCGGCGACTGGAGGAATATGAGAGGAGGCTGCTGGCACAGGAACAGCAGATGCAGAAGCTGCTTTTGGAATACAAGACTCGATTGGAGGACAGTGAGGACCGTCTGCGCAGACAACAAGAGGAGAAAGACAGCCAGATGAAAAGTATTATCTGCCGGTGAGTGTATGACCAAATTTACAGTATATATAAAGGAGTGAAAATCTTATACTTTTGGTTGCAAACCTCAAAATACAGTCTAAATATTTAGTAAATGTTTAGTAAAATCCTTGTGTATATATATGTACATTTGTTGATTAACAATACAATACTGTATAAATGCTGTTTTTTTCCTTAATCCTTTATTTAAGGTATGAATGTGTTTAAGTTTTAAGTAATTTTTTTTTTGGTTACACTTTATTTTAAGGCCCAATTCTCGCCATTAACAACCCATTGAACAAAGACTTTTGCCTCAATAAGCTTCTAATTTGCTGCTTATTAATAGCTAGTAAGGTCGTTGTTAAGTTTAGGTATTAGGTAGGATTAGGGATGTAGAATATGGTCATGCAGAACATGTGCTTTATAAGTGCAGCCAATATGTTAATAATAGGCATGCTAATAAGCATCTAGTTAATAGTAAGAATTGGTCCCTATTAGTGTTGTCAAAAGTACAGACTTCGGTATCAGTCAGTACTGAAATTTTAAAAATGTCCATTTCCCGCTAACATTTGAGCGCTATTGAGCGGATTCTTAAACACTGCTGATTGGCCATTGTGTTCACACGCTCAACAGATATGACTGTGATTGGCTACAATGATCATCGCTTCATGCTCTTCACCGAGCGCTCACACAGGAGCGTTTGAAAGCAGGCGTCTGTCAGCGGATCCGTCTATGTGCAGATATATTTGGGATCTGCTGATAGACGCAGCTTTCAAACGCTCCCGTGTGCATCTGTGCAAGCGCTCGGTGAAGAGCGTGAAGCGGTAATCATTGTACCGAAGTTGGTACTTTTGACAATACTAGTCCCTATACTATACCTTTTTCCTTTTTAATCTTTAATTTGTACATAAACAAAACTATCCATAAACAACCAAATCTGCAATGTTGAAACTGTTTGATATTCCAAAACCATGTGAAATCTGACCAGGTTTTGTGTCATTGTGGCTCATAGGCTGATGGCCGTGGAGGAAGAACTGAAGAGAGACCATGCAGAGATGCAAGCGGTCATAGACACCAAGCAGAAGATAATCGATGCACAGGTATTGCAGATGACCATGTTAACCAGCATGATAAATGCAAGGAAACTTGAGTGAGAATTTGGAGATCATCTTAGTCTACTGTCTGGTTGTGAGGAGCTGGCCTGTGTGTGCTGCACAGTGGTATGCTTTGAACTCCCTGCTAAACCTCAGATGGTATTAAAGCAAACAGGCTGCTGACTGGCTCATTGTTACTGTGTCCTACTGAATTCCAGGTCGCTAATGGAACTGAGGTAATACCAGCAGGCAAGTACAAGCAGACAGTTCTGTTCCTGCAGAGCAGCTAGGCTTATGTAAGCGCACCCCGATCCAACACCCATGCCTGGCCTGAACCTTTGCAACACTCAGTCCTCCAAGCCATTTTGTTTCTCTCCACTTCAGATGATCTAAATATCTAAATCTAAATAAAACGAAGGTTAAATGTGAAGCGTGTCGTTTTTCAGTGTTAAAAGACGCTCTATCCAAATTGCACAGAGATCACTATAACAAAAATGTATAATAAACAAGAATGTAATAATACATATAAATAATTTTATTTATATATATATATACTGTAAAAAAAACTAATGATTGCATTGGATATAGGATGTGAAACGTAAACTAACCAAAAAATTGTATTATATTAATTTTAACTAGAAATGTATACATTTATCTACAATCAAACCAAAATACATTCTGACACCTTCAAGATTTCTCACATTATTACAGTTTATTCGCTATAGTTTAGAAAATGGTAATAAAATATGACAAGAACTCAGAGTTAAACTGTGTCAGAACAAATTCATCTTGAATAAATTAGGTTGAATAGCTGTCAGCTGTTAAATTTAAGTACATAATTAGATAATACCAATTTAGGTCAACCAATTACCAAGCAATGCTTAATTTTGTTCAGTCTGTGGTGTAAAAAGAAAATTAAAAGAATGTATGAAGAATTAATAGGTATAATACTGTGTGTCAGTTTACTTTTTGCTATCCTCCCTTAAATTGAACTGTAGTGTCCTCCACCCACTAGTAAAAAAATATCAAAAATTATATCTGGTGTTTGAATAATTTTTGGTTTGACTGTATAACGTGATTATATTATTGATGTTACATATTATACATATATTCACTTTAAATGTAATTTATTTTATTTTATTAATATTTAATTATTTATTCGATATTTAAAAGGATTGTTCACCCAAAAATGAAAAATCTGTTCCAAACCTGTTTGTGCTTTTTTTTTTTTTCTAAGGAAAACAGAAGAATATATTTTGAAGAATGTTGTTAACCAGACAGTTCCAATTGACTTCCATTGTTTTTGTCCATCCAGTGGAAGTCAATGAGAACCAAAATTGTGTGGCTACCAACATTCTTCAAAATAGTGTTGTTGTTTTTTTTTACTGTCCACAGAAACGATATGAGGGTGAGTAAATGATGACAGAATTTTCCTTTTAATTAGTATTTTAATTTATATTAAATGTAAAAAGAAGACAAAAAAAAACGACATTAGTGATTGTTGTAACAGTTCATCTTAAAGAAAGTTTGTAGGATTTCTAATCAGGAACTGAAAAGTACTTCAGGCAGAATGAAACTGTCCATGACATTATTAGTGACATAGAAATTGCACACTTTACCTTTAAACTAGATACTTAAATACATTTGCATACTTAAACTTTTCAGTCATAGCCTGTTTTGTCATTTGACTTTATTAAAAATTCTCCTCGTGTTTGGTAAATGTTCATGCTTTTCCCACATTTCAAAGCTGTCAGAGCATCTTCCTGATGTTTAGTGTGATGCTATTGAGGAATGTGTTGATATGGATCTCTCGAAGCAGATTTACTACCTGATACCTGTGCTTGGGCTGCTGTTTTTTATTTTCCCTCCTTATTTTTGCCTAGTCACTTCCTTTTTGCCCATGCTGCCACACTCCCAGCACTGTAGTCGATGTGTGTGCACTCCACAAGTTGCCACTGCCCTCTGCAGATTTACTTTATAGTGTAATGATGGTCTCTCTTGTCTGGTTTTTGTCTGCATCTGTTGCTTATACAGGATTTGAGTTGTCCTGATTTTGCTGTCCTTACAAACTTGCTCTTTTGCGTGTTTGTTCACTTGCCTGACCGCTGTCAGACTGGCACAAATTATTAATAGGCCCTATTCACATCAGCTATTATTTGTCTTTTTAAAATGATCTTCCTTTGAAATGAAGATAGTTGATTTGGTTATATTTTGTTGAAAAAATATACATGATAAAACATGACTTACATTCTTTTTAATTCGTTTTATTTATTTACTTTTTCACTTTTTTTTGCTAACACATTCAGTTTCACCATCTATGTCCACCATTTTCCCTTTTGGACAATGTCATTTGTTTACTATATTATTTTATTCGTATTGAATCTTTTTAAAGGAATATTCATGGTTAAATGTAATTTCAAGTTTGAAAAATAAATATACTAGAGATAGGATTTTATACATATTTGTGAAAAGTTTAGTAGAATGTAATGCATAATAAAAGTTCATTCACCTGAAAAAGCAATCCTACCTTTAATAATAAAATTAATAGTAGAATTAATAATAATAATAATAAATTGTATGTAATATATATTAATAATATAATAATAAATTAACCATTATATATATTTATTATAATATATTTTTGTATTTTCTACACACACACACATATAGTATTATGCATAAAATGTCATATTTATTATATGATCATTTCGTGTGTGTGTGTTTATATATATGTATATATATATATATATATATATATATATATATATGTAATATAATTATTATAAATGTTTGAACAAAAATGTGAGCTCTGTGTTTCTGCTGCTAAATCGTCGAGAACAGGCTGTAATATGTAACCTTGAATATCCCTTTGTTATGTTAAAAATTAAGATATCTTAAAATCTTAAATTTGCTTGCAGGAGAAGAGGATCAGCTCCCTGGATGCAGCTAACTCTCGGCTGATGAGTGCCCTCACTCAGGTCAAAGAGCGATACAGCATGCACAACCTCCGCAACGGCCTGTCGCCCACCAACCCCACCAAGCTCTCCATCACTGAGAACGGAGAGTTCAAGAACAGCAGCTGCTGATTGGTGCTCATGGACTTGATGAGCCGTGCCAATTGGTGCTCCCAGACAGATCACCAGCACCGATTGGTCGAGTTCAACACGGACTGAGTACCTAGACTACATGCCTAAACTGACTGACTACTGTATACATGCGATTGCAAGGAATGTCTGGTTATTAATGTATATAAACGTTATCTAATATTGGTTCTGTATAGAAATGCTACTGCAGAGGAGTGTTTTGAGATTGCGTGGGAGAGTAAAGCGTAGCTTCGGTTCTGAGTCAGTGAGTTTGTTTTTTTTTAATACTGATTTACGCATAAATGCAGTTTTAAGATTGCAAACAGATTTTTAATTATTGCCTAAGATATATGAAGGAGATGTACATATCTTAAAATGGAATTGTTTTAAAAGAAAATATGAAGAAAAGCACATAGGTATCGGCCGTAGTTGTAAATGTCCCCAAGTTGCAGAATCTGACAGGCAGAAATAGATGAAAGGCAATTTTATGCACTCAGTTTTCTAACACAAGTTTTCTATTGTTTTGTTTTATATTATTATTATTTTGTTACCATTTTGCAAAAGGTGTTATGACTGATTTTAGTTGACTAAAAGGACACAATTAAGCCAGCCACAGTTCAATTACAACAAATCTAGAACATATTCAATAAGAAATTGAAATACGTATTCATTAATTTTACTAAAAAATATGACTGAAGCAGTGGGTTTAATGAATTAAAATATTGAACTGAATTTTCATTTTGACAGATATGTAGGCTATTTTACTGGCACACAACCCAACTTAACATTTTTTGCCCTATATGTGTTTTATGTATCTGACCAGAGTGCTGTGAAACCACCAATCTACAGTCTCACTGCCCTCTTGTTCTAGACAGTCTCACTGCCCTCTTTCTGATCCTGTTTATTGTTTGTCTGCTACTTTTATTGAAAGTCATTGTTTTTCCACTGTGTTCTCACTCTGTCCATATGAGCATCAATGCCTTTAACCTTTTGTGGCACAGAACTCCTCAATGTTTGCTGTTCTCGTAGCGATATATTTGATGGTCAGTCTCAGAGTTGAAAGCTGAGCATTGAATAAAGATGGATTGTGGCCTCATTGATTATGTTGTCTGTGTGTGACCTGAAACTGATTTAGCATTTCTGCTTCCATTCATTTTGCCGTTGTTGGCATTAATGCACATTACTAAAAGAAGAGTCATTCCCATTAAATATTGTTGTATTCGTTATTATATTGTTTTATATTACATCATTTGGTAGCACTTTACAATAAATTTCCATTTGTTAACTACATTAGTTAACATTAACTAACAATGAAAATAGTAATAAAGCATTTATTAATCTTAGTTAACGCTGATTCCAACATTTACTAATACAGTATTAAAATAAAAACAAAATTGACTTAATGTTAGTTAATGAACCTGAGTTAAATTGGAACAACAATGCACAGCTGTATTTTTATTAACTAACATTAACAAAGATTAATGAATAATGTAACAAGTGTATTGCTCTTTCTTAGTTAATGTTAGTTAATGCACGGAACCTTATTAAAAAGTGTTACCGAATAGTTTAATACTTTATTCGGCAAAGATGCATTGTTGATCAAAAGTGACAGTAAATATAATTCATAATGGTTCAGAATATGTATTTCAAATAAATGCTGTTCCTTCGAGTTTTCTATTCATAAAAGAATCCAGAACAAAAATGAATCACTCTCCACAAAAATATTAAGCAGTTAAAACACTTAAAACAGCAACTGTTGCAACACTGAAAAAAAAAATGTTTCTTAGCACAGATCAATAATAGAATAATTTTTAATGCATCATGTGACACTGAAGACTGGAGCAATGGCTGCTTAAAAATTTAGCTTTGCCATCTCAGGAATAAATTACATATTAAAGCACATTCAAATAGAAACATTATTTTAAACTGAAATATTTCACGATATTACCGTTTTATTTACTGTACTTTTGATTAAATAAATGGTTAGCATAAGACATTTCTTACAAAAAACAATCTTACTGACCCCGAACTTTTGAACTGTAGTATATAGATACAGTTGAAATCATAGTTTCATAATTGTTACAACCCAAAAGTGGGTAGAATTTGATCTCATTTTGAATAAAAATGGATAGAACTCACGGTCCTGGGCCAGGGGTGCCCAAACTCGGTCCTGGAGGGCCGGTGTCCTGCAGAGTTTAGCTCCAACTTGCCTCAACACACCTGCCTTCAAGTTTCTAGTATGCCTAGTAAGAGCTTGATTAGCTGGTTCAGGTGTGTTTAATTGGGGTTGGAGCTAAACTCTTCAGGACACCGGACCTCCAGGACCGAGTTTGGGCACCCCTGTCCTGGGCACTGGTCTACAAAATAATATTTTAATTTTTACTTTGAAATGTGCAATTAAACGGCTAAAAAAGTTTGTCATTGCCACTGTCCAGATGTCATATCTCGGATACACCAAAGGATAGGGTTGCCACCCGTCCCTTAAATCGAATCGTCCCGTATTTAAAGGTAAAATTATGCGTCCCGTATCAAATTAATACGGGACGCTGAATGGGAACGTTATCAATGGATCTGTTCAGTTGCTAATAATGAACGCGCAGTTTGCAGAGAAACTTGCTCATGGTGGACTGCCTGACTTAAAGGGATAGTTCACCCAAAAATGAACATTTTGTCATCGTTTACACGCCCACAAGTTGTTACAAACCTGTAATAATTTCTTTCTTCTGTTAAACATAAAAGAAAATACTTTGAAGAATGTGGGTAACCGAACAGTTTCTGGTCCCCAATGACTCTGATAACGTACTTAGTATTTTACCTAGGTTTAGAAAAACCTGGGTAAATTATGACAGAAGTTCCATTTTTGGGTGAACCATACCTTTAAAGTGACAGACACATCCGTGCTTCTAAAGGTATAGGCCTATTGTTTTATTAAAATTTGGATAGTCAGTTAGGCTAATATATTTCATACATTACCAGAGCTTAGTAGACATAATTATTATATTTTTAGGAATTATTAGCCAGATTAATTAATAGAATATAGGCCTATTTTATGTTATACCCTATTTATTAATTTATCATTTATATTAATCATAAATATATACATAATAATCATATGTCATTTGGCATTTTAAAAAGTAAAAAAAAAAAAAGCTAAATTATTTAGACAAAAATTGGACAAATAATTACATAATAATGTAGTCCTAATTTAAGCAAATTAATAAAAAAATAATACAAAATTTTCCCATCCTGGTAACAGCTGCAGAACTGTAAAAAAAAGAAATACTAATAATACTTAATAATTATAAATAAAACTATAAAAAGGGGGGGGGGGG